GCTCGGCTTTTCAAATGCAGTATACGAAGTAGCATCCTTCAAAGAAGAAACCTTCGGCGGGCAGCTGCCGCCTCGCGGCGAGCCGCCAGGACTGCACGCCTTCGACGGGCCTCTCGATGCGCGAATCCGCGGCGAAGCACCGCAAGTCGAAGCGCTCTGGAAAGGTGAGCGGAAGACACTTCCTCCAGGGTCGTCTCGTAACGTGCTCGATGGCCGATGGCTCGCAGGCGAATGTCCACGGACTCGACCCTCCAGGCGGTCCAAAGATCGTCTGAGCCGCAGGTTGCAGCTGCCGAATTAAGCAGCCGGCTGCAAGTCTCGCCACCAAGGCACGTGGTGTAGCATTCCAAAGAATCATCTCGGTATACGCGAGCCAGAACAAGGATCTCGGATGAAGACCAGGGAGTACGAGATGCTGTGCTCCGGCGACCCCTCGGGCTTTCGCCTAAAGCAGTAGCCTCGGCAGCGGCTTCTGTCGGTTCCAACTCAACTTCCTCTTCGCTGACCACGTCGGCGAGGGCGGTGCGAGAAGCACCCGAGTCGGCAACGGCATTGGAGCCTTTGCTGATGTCGCTGGCGATCTCGGAAAGCCCCGAAGCGAGATCGGGCGCCGCCGGGGTCTCGAGCCGATTGGGTGCTGCCAGGGTCTCGAGGCGATGGATGCTTGTCCGGATCTCCTCCCACAGCTCCTCGTCGGTCAAATGTGACAATGCACCGGAGGCACCTGAAGCCGAAGCCCCCGTCGGACGGTCGAGTCGCATGCGAAGCCCCGCGTCCTCCCACTCGGCAGCTGTATGAAATCCTCCAAAATCACTTTCTGTCATGGCACGACGAGAAGCAGCGTCGAGCTCGCGCTCGACTTGCTGCTGGCGACGCAGTGCAAGGGCGATGTGAAATTGCAGGAATGCCGAAGCCATCGCCTGTAGAAAACTAAGAACCTCTCCTTTACGACGTCGGCTTGGTCTGGCTAGGGAGCCGAGACCCTGCTAAAACCTCGCGACTGTGCTCGTTTCCCCTGCTGATGCCACTCTGAAACGACGATGCGGGGTCCCCGCCCATCCGCAGGCATGGCTTCGCCGCCCAGGGACGAACCTCCGACCGTGGAGGGCCTCCCCGGTTCTCCCGCGAAGGCTGGCGATTGGTTTAGGTCTCCACCAAGCAAGACAGTTCCCCGCCTGTCCGGGAGCTGCCAGTCGCGACCAGCAAAGTGCATCTCCGTCAACGAGGCAAGGACCTGAACGAATTAAGCACGCCGTATGCTGGCAATTGGTTCGTGTCACCACCAAGCAAGACAGTTCCCCGCCTGTCCAGGAGCTGCCAGTCGCGACCAGCAAAGTGCATCTCTGTCGACGAGGCAAGGACCTGAACGAAATAAGCGCGCCGAAGAAGAAAACCCGGGCCGTCACGTCCGGTTCCTTCTCTCCCCTGCACGCAGAACCTCGTTTTCCGTCATGGGCCTTCTTTCGGTATGACACTGACTCCAGGATGCTACGGCGACGGCCACCGGGAGACGATGCTCATCGCACAAGGGGTCCCGCGAGTGCAGAAACCCGGGAGCGGCGCCCGGAACGCACCGGAGAACTCTCTTGAATGCCGTCTCGCCGGTCGAAACCAGGATGGGCTGTGCCTCGACGCGCCTGGTGAGACCGTTCAGCGGCCCCGCACATACGTCGCCAAAGCGGAAAGCATCCTGTATTTTCACGGGCAATTGCAACTCCGTGGCAATGTGCCTCGCGAGCACAAACCCCAAATGTAAGTCACGTGCGACCTCGGCTCGGCCTGGCTAGAGAGCCGAGACCCTGCAAAACACTCGCCCTGCTGCACACACATGCTCCGAGACAAGAGAAAGAAACCGTCGGCTTGCCCGCATCCTCCAACTCGGCAGCTGTATGAAATCCTCCAGAATCATATATTCAGTCGTGGCACAACGAAAAGCATCGTCCGGCTCGCGCTCGACTTGTTGCCGGCGCCGCAGTGCAAGCCCAATGCGCAAGTGTAAGAGCGCCGACTCCATCGCCTCTAGAAAACTATCTACCTCTCCTTTACGACGTCGGCTTGGTCTGGCCATATAGAGCCGAGACCCTGCGAAAGCCTCGCGACGGTGCTCGTTGCCCCTGCTGCTGCCACTCCGAAGCGATCAGGAAAAGTCCCCGCCTGCTCGAAGGCGTGGCTTCGCCGCGTAGGGACCGACCTCCGCCTGTCGAGGCTCCCCGGTTCTCCCGCGAATGCTGGCAAGTGGTTCTAGTCGCCAGCAAGCAATACGGTTTGTTGATCACCATCCCCGACCATGATTCCCACACCCCCCCCACAGGATACAGTACCTGCTGTGTAACCCCAAGGAAAATTAATGTATCCAGCCACCCCTGCACCCGGCTAACGTCCTATGGGGGTCGGAGAGGACCAAGCTTTGGTGTTCGACTTGCACACTCGCTAACTACGGGCAGGACTTGCACACTCGCTGAACGCAAGCACAGTCGCTGAATGCAGAGGCGGCCTCCCTTGTTTGCTCGACTTTCCACTGTGTCACGCTGCCGGAGACTGGTCGTCGACCTCCTAGGAAGGTCAAAGAAGAAGCCTGATTTTCAAGGCTGTCACCGGCGCCACCAGAGCCTTGTCGTTCGGCTTTCTTAGGAAAGTGTCAAAAAAAAAAAAACGAGTGCCCCGAAGCTCGGTGGGCGCTGTTTCCTGGAAGATCCTGTAAATCCGCATGCTGTACTCCTTGGCGTGTGCCGCGATGAACAAAGTCTGTCTCTGTCAACGAGGCAAAGACCCGACGGAGATAAGGACACCAAGGAAGAAAGCCCAGCCCGTCGCGTGGAGTTCCTCCTCACGCCGGCACACAGGACCTTATTTTCCGCCGTAGGTTTTCTTTCGATACGACACTGGCTCCACGATCGTGTGGCAACAGCCACACGCTGTTGCCTAGGACTCTGAAGCCTGGACGAGGCGACGGTCGCGACCGACCTTCGATTGGAGACCCAACTGCGACTGCGCCCGGCACTGAAGAAGAAAGATTGCGGACCAGTTGCCATCGGCCAGGAGTTTCGGAACGAGTTCCGAAATTGCGGCATGGACCCGGAGGGGATGCGAAAGACCGCCAGCCGCGCGCAACAGTAGAACCGGCGTTGCACAGTGGTCGTGGCCTTCGCCCACACGCAGGAACGTGCTGTTCAAGCCGGGGGGGCTTGCTGGCCCTGGCAGCTTGCTGGCCAGGCACATGTCATAGGGCGCCAGCCGCAGCCCACGGCCCACGGCACAGTCACAGTCACAGTCCATGAGCTGGCAACCTTCGAGGACGCCAGGCCGAGTCCAGATCAAAATGTCATCGGCGGCACATCAGGGCGGAGTAAGTGCTCCCACGGGATTCTCCAGACGCGAGATGCGGTTTCGCAAGTCCTGCAGATCAGCTCGAGCCTCATCCAGGGTTCGCATGAGGGAACCGACCTGTCGCTGGAGCTGGTTCGTCCGGTAACGCTCGCGCCCCAGATCCAAGCGGACGGTGATGAGCTCTTCCTTGACCTCACGAAGATGTTTGTCGACTCGCTCGGCAGTCAGCGGGCCAGGCAGCCGGCCAAAACCTCGATCCGAGGGCGGTGAACGAGAGCGATCTGCAGAATCTGGGAGTCGCTCTCCAGGCAGCTCGTCAACAGCAGCAGTGGTCGCCGGAGGCTCAATGATCGTGTCCCCGGCCTCATCATCGTCAGGAGCTGCGCCAGCAAGTGAATGAAACTCCACGAAAGAATGGGCCATCTCTCAGCAGCAGCTGCTACGGCCTAGGGCCCGTGACAGAGTTCTGGGGCCCTTCTAGCAAGACGTATCTGCCGGGAGAAGGGTCTCCAGTGCCCGATAAGAGGAGCCGAAACTAGACCGAAAGAAAGAATTCGGCACGAGCCCTACTAAAGGTCTCACAAAGGCCTCAACCCAGAATACCAGAAACTCCAAACTCCATGAACCGTGAGATCTGAGCACCAAGGCTCCTAAACTCCTAAACTCTGAACCCAATTTGTTGAACGAGGTCTCTCTGAAATGCATGATTTCATCGATCTCTCTAACTCCGAACGTATATATAAACCCGAAGCCCAAACCCCTAAACTCTGAACCTAAAACTATCTACCTCTCCTTTACGACGTCGGCTTGGTCTGGCCATATAGAGCCGAGACCCTGCGAAAGCCTCGCGACGGTGCTCGTTGCCCCTGCTGCTGCCACTCCGAAGCGATCAGGAAAAGTCCCCGCCTGCTCGAAGGCGTGGCTTCGCCGCGTAGGGACCGACCTCCGCCTGTCGAGGCTCCCCGGTTCTCCCGCGAATGCTGGCAAGTGGTTCTAGTCGCCAGCAAGCAATACGGTTTGTTGATCACCATCCCCGACCATGATTCCCACACCCCCCCCACAGGATACATTACCTGCTGTGTAACCCCAAGGAAAATTAATGTATCCAGCCACCCCTGCACCCGGCTAACGTCCTATGGGGGTCGGAGAGGGCCAAGCTTTGGTGTTCGACTTGCACACTCGCTAACTACGGGCAGGACTTGCACACTCGCTGAACGCAAGCACAGTCGCTGAATGCAGAGGCGGCCTCCCTTGTTTGCTCGACTTTCCACTGTGTCACGCTGCCGGAGACTGGTCGTCGACCTCCTAGGAAGGTCAAAGAAGAAGCCTGATTTTCAAGGCTGTCACCGGCGCCACCAGAGCCTTGTCGTTCGGCTTTCTTAGGAAAGTGTCAAAAAAAAAAAACGAGTGCCCCGAAGCTCGGTGGGCGCTGTTTCCTGGAAGATCCTGTAAATCCGCATGCTGTACTCCTTGGCGTGTGCCGCGATGAACAAAGTCTGTCTCTGTCAACGAGGCAAAGACCCGACGGAGATAAGGACACCAAGGAAGAAAGCCCAGCCCGTCGCGTGGAGTTCCTCCTCACGCCGGCACACAGGACCTTATTTTCCGCGGTAGGGTTTCTTTCGATACGACACTGGCTCCGCGATCGTGTGGCAACAGCCACACGCTGTTGCCTAGGACTCTGAAGCCTGGACGAGGCGACGGTCGCGACCGACCTTCGATTGGAGACCCAACTGCGACTGCGCCCAGCACTGAAGAAGAAAGATTGCGGACCAGTTGCCATCGGCCAGGAGTTTCGGAACGAGTTCCGAGATTGCGGCATGGACCCGGAGGGGATGCGAAAGACCACCAGCCGCGCGCAACAGTAGAACCGGCGTTGCACAGTGGTCGTGGCCTTGGCCCACACGCAGGAACGTGCTGTTCAGTAGCGGCAAGAGAACCTCGAGACATGGGCTCACGTGAGCGCGGAACTCCAAGAGGAGCGAGACCAAAGGTTGAGAGCGCAGCGCCGCCCCCATGCTCAGTGCAGAGCGGCCCTCCGGACTGGCGCGATTGACATCTGCTCTTGCCAGGAGAAGTGTGGCGACCGATCCGACGTCTTCGAATCGGACCGCAAGCAGAAGCGGGCCAGCACGGCGGCGGCCCGTCGTGTTCGGAGATGCCCGCGCCTGTAGCAGCGTAGACACAGCTCCGACTTCCCGTCGCTCGGCCGCCCAACAAAGAGGAAGGCCGTGGTCGCCCCATGCTCCATGCTCCTGCTCGATCAAGAAGGGATGACGCTCCAGGACATTGGCAGCCAAGTCATAGTCGCCCCCGCTAAGGGCACGCCGCAAAAAAAGCGCGTGAGTATCCACGGACGCAGAAGAGTCGTAAGTGATGGCAACCCGATCGCACTGTTCTCGAGCAAATAGTCCCACCGGAGGCATGCGATGGCAAAGCTGTAGAATGATAGCATGTTCGGCTCCAGCTTCACTGAAAGCAACTTCCCTTCCGCTCAAGGAAAAAGACACGGGCAGGATCGCCGGGTGCGGGCCGGCGGCATGGTGCCCATGGATTCGAAAAGCCCGCATGGTCTCTGCATCGTCCCATTGACACGCCAGGCCATGTGGAGAAACCCCGCGAAGGCTGCCCGCTACGGCACAGCGATGGGGGCAGGCTCTAGCATGTAGCAGAATATGCATCATTTGACGCTGCATCTTGGCCACGGATAACAGGAGCGGGCAATATCCGGTGTCCGGCGCGACCGAGGCACCTGCTCGTAGCAGCAGCGTGGTGCAACCGTGCGAGTAGGCCAAGACGGCATAAGCCAGAGGGGTGTGACCACGACTGTCGGGGAAATTAGCATCCGCCCGCAATGCCAAAAGCGCTTCGAAATCGCCTCTGGGCTGTTCCACGGCCAGCGACAGAAGCGGAGCACGCCAGGAAGAGAAATCTTCCACCGGGAGCCGACGATCGACGGCAAGGCGTCCTCGCATGATCAGCATGATGAGAACGGAATGGTGGTGCTGGGCGATGATACGCAGCGTATCATCCCAGATCTCATTTGCTAGCTCCGGCACCTCGTGGTGCATGAGCACTGCCAAGGCCTCGTCCTCGTCCCCACGCTCGAGATAGACGTCAACGGTGACGACCCATTCCAGCGGAGTTAGCGCTGGCTGCACGAAGTGCACGTGCACGAACACAGACGAAGCCGCTGCTTCCGCGACGTCGCGTCCGTCTTCCTGCAGCTGCAGAAAGATGGGGGCGACGCCAAGAGCACGCCCGAGCTCCCGCATGAAGACCTTCTCGCGCTGAAGCCCCCGAACTGACCCCCGAACGAGGATGGGCGTCGCCCCGAGCCAGTTGGCTAGGCCGTGCAGCAGCCCCGCACACAGATCGCTGGGACGGTCGCCTAGCTGTACTTTTAAGGGCCCAGGCGAAGCCATGGCGACGTGGCGCAGGAGAGCCACCTCGGGATTTAAATCGCTTGCAACCTCGGCTTGGTCTGGCCAGAGAGCCGAGACCCTGCGAGACTCTCGCCCTGCCGCCCACGCATGCTCCGAAACGAGAAAAACGAGCCCTCGGCTTCCCCGCCTCTCCGAGCTCGTATGCTCTGTCGTTCAGGGACGGAGCTCGACCTGAGACTGGCAGAACTCTGAATTCGAGGCAACGCACGTATCGGCTCCACATCGCCTTGACCCGGCCGCAGACACGAGACTCCCCTGCTCCCCTGAGAATGCCGGCCAGTTCTTATTCTCTCTCCAAGCAAGACATTTCCCCGCCTGTCCAGGAGCTCCATCGAGAAAATCGGTAGCTTCGCAGACTGACTGCGTGGAGACAGCCCAGACTGCGAGAGATAAAGCATGTTGTCCCCTTCATACACAGCATCAGGTTAGCCTGGGCATGGCGCCGAGACTCCCCTGTTCTCCTGAGAATGCTAGCACGTCATGCTTATCGCCACAAAGCAAGACGATTCTCCGCCTCCCCGAAAGCTCTCCATCGCGACAAGCAAAGTGCGTGTCTCTGTCGACAAGGCAAGGACCTGAACGGGATAAGCACACCGACAAAGAGAGTCCGTCCCGTCGCATGGAGTTCGTCCTCTAGCCTACATGCACGATCTCATTTTCCGTACTCGGTCCTCTTTCGATGTGACACGGACTCCGTGCTCCTGCGGCAACAGCCACGCACCGTTGCCTAGGACCCCGAAGCCAGGGCAAAGCAACGGTCGGAGCCAACCTTCGGTTGGAGACCTAACTGCGACTGCGCCCAGCACTGAATCGCGAAGATCGCTTTCCAGTTGCCATCAGCCATGAACTGCGGAACGAGTTCCGAGAGTACGGCATGGACAACGGAGTGCGGAAGGGCACCAGCAGCACGTAGCAGCAGAAGCGCCGCGGCACAATGATCGAAGCTTCTGCCGCCACCCAGAAACGATTTCTGAAATACCGCCGAGAGAACCTCGGGGCGTGGGCTGACATGAGCACGGAACTCCAAGAGAAGCGAGACCAGAGGAAGATTGCGGAAGGATGCCCCTATGCTCAGCGCGGAGCGGCCGTCGGCACTGACAAGATTCACATCTGCTCGTGCTAGGAGAAGCATGGCGGCCAACGAAAGATCTCCCTGTCGAGCCGCAATAAGAAGCGGGGCAGCAGACCCGCGCGTCACGTTCGGAGATGCCCGTGCCTGTAGCAGCGTACAAACAGCACCAGCTTCGAGCTCGACCGCCCACAAAAGAGGAAGGTTGTTAAAACCCCACGCTCGATAATCCGACATCTGGATCAGGTCAGGACGACGCTCGAGGATGTTGGCTGCCAAGTCATGGTCGCCCCCACTGAGGGCACACCGCAAGGCCGATGCGTGGGCCCGCGGGCACACGGATGAGTTGTAAGTGATGGCAACCCGATCACTGTGTTCTTCGGCAGATAACCCCATCGTTGGCATGCGATGGCACAGCTGTAGCACGGAGGCATGTTCGGCTCCGACTTCACTCAGGGCAACTTCGTTTCCGCTCAAGGAAAAAGACACGGGCAGGATCGCCGGGTGCGGGCCGGCGGCATGGTGCCCGTGGATTCGAAAAGCCCGCATGGTCTCTGAGTCATCCCATTGGTACGCCAGACCGTGCGGAGAAAGTCCGCGAAGGCTGCCTGCTGAAGAGCGCCGATAGGGGCACGCCCTCGCATGTAGCAGGATGTGCACCATTTGACGCTGCCTCTTGGCCACGGACAACAGGAGCGGGCAGTATCCCGTGCCCGGCGCGACCATGGCACCTGCCCGCAGGAGCAGCGTAGTGCGAGCGTGTGAGTTTGCCAAGACCGCATAAACCAGCGGGGTATGACCACGACTGTCGGGTTTGTTTACGTCTGCCCGCAGTGCCAAAAGCGCTTCGAAATGGCATCGAGGCCCTGCCGCAGTTAGTGAGAGGAGCGGAGCGCGCCAGAAGGAAGCATCTTCCGCCGATAGCCGATGATCAACGGCGAGGCGGCCTCGCAGGATCAGCATGATGATAAGTTTAAAGTGCTGACGTCGGATAGTCGAGAACGTCTGGTCCCAGATGTCGTCTGCCAAGTCCGGCACCTCGTCATGCATAAGCACTGCCAAGGCCTCGATCTCGTCCCCGCGCGTCAGATAGACGTTGACGGTAAGGACCCATTGGAAGGGAAGCAGCGCTGGCCGCACGAAGCGCACATGCCAAAAGAGCGGGCAATTCGCCCCTTCGCCGATATCGCGTCGAGTCTCCCGCAGCTGCAGAAATACGGGAGCGATGCCGAAAGCGCGCCCTAGATCGCGCTTCAATTCCGGCACACCGATCCCGGCAGGGTCTCTCCCCAAAACCAGCATGGGAGCTGCCTCGAGCCAGTTGGGCAGACCCTCCAGCAAAGCGACACACAGGTCGCTGGGATGCTCGGCAACGTGTATTTCTGATGTCCCGTGCAAAGCCATGGCGACTGGCCGCGCCACGACTACCCGAAGATGTACATGAAGTGCAAATTTCGGCTTGGTCTGGCTAGAGAGCCGAGACCCTGCAGAAGTCTCGCCCTGCTGCCTTCGCGTGCTCCGCCACAAGAGCAACGAGTCGCGAGCATCCCTGCCTCTCTAAAATCGTAGTCTCTGCCGTTGAGGGACGGCACTCGACCTGACATCGCGGAAACATCCGAATCGGAAACGATGCGCTTCTTTGTATGTGTGTGTGTTTGTGCGTGCAACATCGGCCTTCGCTGCAGCCCGCCTCGGCTTTGTCGTGTCCTAAGTGCAAAAAAACAAAGACAGGAAAGCTTGAAGTGGCTAGAAGCCAAGGCCCGGGACGCAGCGCAGGATGCCGTTCCCTTTCGAGCCGACCGATTTCTGTGCATCTGCCTTACAAAACAAGGATTGAAGCGCGCAGAAAGCGAACTGCGTCGCTCGTACCTCAGTAACCTGCCAAAGCAGCTCCGCAAGACGAAAGGAAAGTACCGATCCCCGTCGACAGGATCGAACCTGGCTCGAGACAGGCGGAATGAGAGAAAGACTTGCCTTTCGGTTCCTAGGTAGCCTCGCCTTGGCCTGGGCAAAAAGCCGAGACACCGGTGTTTCCCTGAGAAGGCTGGCACATCGTTCTTGTCGAATGCATGCAAAACGCTTCCCTGCCTGTCCAATCAGCTCTCCGTCGCAACGGGCAACGTCCGTCTCCCGCAATCGGGCAAGGACCTCCGAGAGATGAAAAGACCGAGAAAGAAGGGCCGGCGCCGTGAGATGAACTTCTTCCTCCAACCTCCAGCAAAGCGACGCGCAGGTCGCTGGGATGCTCGGCAACGTGTATTTTTGATGTCCCGTGCAAAGCCATGGCGACTGGCCGCGCAAAGACTACCCGAAGATGTACGTCAGGTGCAAATTTCGGCTTGGTCTGGCTAGAGAGCCGAGACCCTGCAGAAGTCTCGCCCTGCTGCCTTCGCGTGCTCCGCCACAAGAGCAAGGAGTCAGGAGCATCCCTGCCTCTCTAAAATCCTAGTCTCTGCCGTTGAGGGACGGCACTCAACCTGACATCGCGGAAACATCCGAATCGGAAACGACGCGCTTCTTTCTGTGTGTGTGTGTGTGTGCGTGCAACATCGGCCTTCGCTGCAGCCCGCCTCGGCTTTGTCGTGTCCTAAGTGCAAAAAACAAAGACAGGAAAGCTTGAAGTGACTAGAAGCCAAGGCCCGGGACACAGCGCAGGATGCCATTCCCTTTCGAGCCGACCGATTTGTGTGAATCTGCCTTTCAAAACAAGGATTCATGCGCGCGGGACGCGAACTGCGTCGCTCGTACCTGAGTAACCTGCCAAAGCAGCTCCGCAAGACGAAAGGAAAGTACCGATCCCCGTCGACAAGATCGAACCTGGCTCGAGACAGGCGGAACGGCAGAAAGGCTTGCCTTTCGGTTCCTGGGTAACCTCGGCTTGGCCTGGCCAAGAAGCCGAAACACCGGTGTTTCCCTGAGAAGGCTGGCAAATCGTTCTCGTCGAATGCAAGCAAAACGGTTCCCTGCCTGTCCAATCAGCTCTCCGTCGCAACGGGCAACGTCCGTCTCCCGCAATCGAGCAAGGACCTCCGGGAGATGAAAAGACCGAGAAAGAAGGGCCGGCGCCGTGGAATGAAGTTCTTCCTCCAACCTACATGCACGATCTCATTTCTCGTCGTAGGATTTCTTTCAGAATGACTGCGCCTCGATGCTCTTCTGGCAACAGGAACACCCTGTAACCTAGGACCCCGAAGCCGAAGCAGGGCAACAGCCGGAGGCGACCGTCGATTGGAGTCCTAACTGCAGGTGCGCCCAGCAGTGAACCACGAAGATGGCGGACCAATTGCCCTCGGCCAGGAGTCGCGGAACGAGTTCCGAAATTACCTTGTGGACCACGTCGGAATGCCCAACGCCGCCGGCTGCGCGCAGCAGCAGAACCGACGTTTCACAATGGTCGTGGCCGAGGCCATCGCGCTGGAACGTGCTGTTCAATAGCGGCAAAAGAACCTCCGGCCGCGTGCTCAGATGAGCGCGGAACTCCAACAGGAGCGAGACCAAAGGGGGGGAGCGGAGCGCCGCCCCTATGCTCAGCGCGGAGAGGCCGTCGGCATCGACGTGATTGACATCTGCTCGAGCCAGGAGAAGTAGAGCGACCGATCCAATTCCCCCATGCCGAGCCGCGAGCAGAAGCGGGGCGGCGTGGCCGGGCGTCGTCATGTTAGGAGATGCCCGCGCCTGTAGCAGCGTAGAAATAGCACCGACTTCCCGTATTTTAGCCGCCCAAACAAGAGGAAGCCCGTCGTCACCCCATACTATATACTCCGCCTCCTCGAT